CGAGCCATTCATCCGGTATTCCATGTCTCGCAGATCGAACCATCCGTCCCGAACACCATTCCGAACCGCCACCAGCCACCTCCGCCTCCCGTAGAGATCGAAGGCGAAATGGAGTTCGAGATCGAGGAAATACTCGACTCCAAGATCGACCGACGTAGACGCAACAAGCTGCTCTACTTGGTCAAATGGCTAGGCTATGAAGGGACCGACGAGGAGACACAATGGCTCCTTGCCGGCGAACTCGATCACGCCTCCAACCTCGTCGAAGCGTTCCACTCTCGGTACCCAGCGAAGCCTGGACCCGAAGCTCCTTAGGAACCCCGACTCCTCTCCCATTTCTCCTTTCCCCTCTGCTCCTCACTTCCGTTTTCATTTTTATTTTCTCATCTGCTTTTCTTCCTGTAAGTGCAGCTCCCCTCGTCTTACTAATTCTGGGCCTTCAAGGGTTCAGGCCTAAGAAGGGGATACTGTCATATCCATCCCCGGCCATCGACTTCCGGTCCCTCCGATCCCTCCGTTCCAACTCTGCTCCTCCCTCACTAACCTCGGAGCCCCCGTATTCCGCAATCCTCTCGGCGTCCCTCAATGGTCACCACCCCCTCATTTCAATTTATTACCTACACCTCCCTAAGTACGGAGCCCCAAAGACTTCCGGACAGCTCCAACGTCCGCTAGCGCACCCCCGCCTCCGCTGGGCAATACACTCGCCTGCCCTGCAGAGCCCACCTTCGGGCCTATCCCTCCTTTCCATTTCTGGGTTAACGCCTGCCTTTCCGCTAACCCCGCGAACCGACTCGTCGGTAATATTCAGTCGGCTAATGCTTAAACCCCGTTAGCTCCGCTCCGTTCAGCTCTGCCAATTGCGGAACCGTCTCCGCTGTAACCATATATATATCCCACTTGTACATAGGTTACGCCCCAGTAGTAAAATCAACTAGAGTTACCCCCCTAGGTTCTAATTGCCAGTCAGTAAGTTAGGGCACAGACGTGTCACTAGGCACAGCGCTCTTGGCAGAAGTCGCTGAGGCCGAAGCCCTCCGTTACGGAGACATTCCTTCGTCTCGAATCTGGTCTCTGACATTAATGAGATATCCAATAACAGGAATAGTGACATCAAAAGTCCGGGCTCAGGGAAAAGACAATGTTTACATAGGATCCATAATTAAAACATACAACGAAATTTACACGGAAATTATGAAAAATAGGGAACTATAGTTATGCAAATTTCCAGCCCAAACGGTCCAGCCATTGTGAAGTTATACCAATGACAGGAACATAGAAATCTGCATCATGTTTAATGACATGTGAGGGTGGCAATGCGAAGGGAACCGACCATTGGAACCAAGATCTGCACTTCAGCAGATCGTGAAGACCAATTTCCATCCAAATAAGGAAGAGCCTGGTCAAAACAAAGCATGGAAAGTGCAAAAAAACCTTAGATCATGAGGGAAAAATCTGAAATAAATCACGGAAGCCCATATGAAGGATACAAATACCCACGCATACCATAAATCCTGAACAATTAAACAGAAATGGTGCCCGCATACGAACAACTATGGGAACAATGCATGTGATTACCGAATGTGCACGCAAACTTTTGCTAACTCGATGAATACCAGGAAATAGAACACAACTTTAGTACCATTGGAAAGGTGGGAATAAATGAAAATTTATGATACCAAGAATGTGAAAAACCATCGAGAAATGAATGAGATACAAGGACATGAAGTTAGAAACCTGAAAATGCGCAGGAAGACAGCTTCAAGAGGTCCAGAGGCCTAAATAAAATACATAGAAATATGATATCTTCGAGGACGACCTACTATAACAACGAACAATACATATGGAGGACTAGGATGTGATAATACAAAGGGGAATCAGGGGAGATGAATGAAATCCACGAAAACCACTAAACTACGATGGACCATGGCGGGAATTTTAGGGAACGATATTCTAATGAAGTGGAGAGCTATAATACATTTGTTTGAGTAATTCTTGACTACTAGCAACTTTTTCTTTCGGTTCTAAACCTGAATAATTCACTCATTTACCATTTCAAGTCTCATTTTAACTAAATGTCGCTGGATAAAAATGGAATAAACCAGCTGAAGGTCTCAGTGCAGCTGTATGCATAGTAATGCGAAGTTTGAATTCAGAATCACCGAGTCATAGCGAATTCAATGGTAAATATGAGGAATTTGAAATAGGAAACTGCAACAAATGCAGCGCAGTCAAGTTCTAATTAACCATTAAAATAGTTTAGGTGAGGAAGGACAATAAAGATTCTAGCTGCAGTCTGACTGCAGTAGAGCTGCAGTTCAGCACAGCAGAGCGCAGTAGAACTATAGCATGAAATTTTCATTTTTTATTCAGTTTGAGAAAAATACACTGTAAATAAATCCTGTAAATACGAGGTAGAGCGTGAAAAAGGAAGGTGACCCAAGGAGTATAAAAGGGAGACCCTTTCTGCGACTTTTTGCCCCCCTCAGAGAAGTAAGAAAATAGAGTATTATTTTTCTCAAGCATTTCTGGTTGTCACTCCAGCATGAAAAAGTGATATACAGTTAAGATTGCCACTGTAGTAAAAGGCAGCAATTAAGGAGGGAAATATTAAGTAGATATTTCAACAGGAGAGCTGGTTAACACTCCAGATTTCAAAGTGTAAACACAAAACAGTTATTTTGCTACTGTTAAAACAAGCAATAAAATAAGACAAAAATAAAACAAACTCAAGGGACACTCCAGACACAATCCAAATCCATTAACTGAGTAGAATCTTTGAACTTCACCAAGTAGAAGATTTAATTCAAGTTAAATTCCAAATTAAACAACGCTACACAGAATTACACCTAGACAAATTAAGAAATTTCAATAAAAGAACAGCTCTGCAGGGCTCAGTTTATCTGTAAGTCAATTCCCAGAAACTTTTAGACTGACCCATAAAAATAGAATTAGCCAAAACACTCAGATTGGTACTATAATTACAACAAATATTACTAGTACACTTCCCCATCCTAACTAAAGAACCAGGGAACAGCTTGGTGGTGGTCTCGTTTGAACCTCCCAACTGACCTTCCTTCGTTCTCTCCTTCAATGCTCACTTTGGTAATGACCATATCTGTATGTATTGATACCTGACATGTGCCTGCACAGCAGCTCATCTGTCATGACCCGACATATCTGTCACTTCCCTCTATGCGCCCTAGTGCCACTTGGTCTGTCCCTCCCGCTATCATCATCATCCGTCCACCCATCTGTCCACCTGTCACCCTCATCCGCACTTCCTCCCTCGCGCGCGTACCTACCAACCTAGGTTGCCCGCTTCATTGTTGTCCGCCCCCAGCCGGACGGCTTGCTAGACGGCCGGATGGCCTTTTCTCTTTTGTCTGCTTACGGACTATTGTTCTTTCCTTTTGTTCCTTGCTTGCCTTTTGTTGATCAAGTTTGCCGATATTAACTATTTGTTCCTTTCTTCATTCATTAATATCGCGCTTGATCCGCCACTCCTTCCGGGCCGGTCTCATTTAGTTACTTGTGTTTATAACACGTGTAGGTTACACCGGATGTACCTCAGTTCGTATATCGACTTGGATTCCCCCTCTGAACTCTTATCCTCATCGTAAGGCTTCTGTCTGAAATTGGGACACCAACATAAGAACGAAGCGCAGCGCTCCACCCGAGTCGCCGAAGCTAAAGTCCCGCCCCTCCGACCTTACGAGCCCGGACGACCTCGCACGCCTCGCGGGTCACCTGGATACGCTTCTGGCACGTTCCTGACATCATCCCCATGTCTTATGTCAGCAACACCCCACTACTGCTGTAACCATTGCAACTTGCACAAGCCCCTCTCAGGCTGTGATCTTCACAACCCTGGTCTCACTGCTTCAATGTTTGGTCACAAACTTGTAGAGCAACCTATTAAGTGGTTACCTCAACATGCAAAACCTGGCTACTGTTAGAGGATGAATGGGCAAAGTTGTCCAGAAGCAGAGAAGGGACTCAGGAGTGGAGGGACCTTGGCCTCAGCGACTCAAGTGGAGCACTGTGCCACTGCTTGTTGTCTGAGGTGGTCCTTGACTTCAGGTTAGCAGGGGGAGTCTCTTTGGGGGACAATCCAGTTGTTATTCTTGTCGTCGATTTCAGACTGGGGGTACAGGAAACTAAGTACAGAGTATATATATAATACAGGAGTGGAGTCAGAGGACAAAGGGGACTGGAAGGAGGACAAAGGGGGACTGGATGAGGGAACAACCCCAAGGGTCAAGGGTTGGAACTCTATGGTGCTTCCCAAAAGGGCAAGGCCAAGAGGGGAAGGAGTGGAGGGGGTTGTGGGGGTTGTGGGGGTTGTGGGGAATGACAGCTGACTAATATGGAAAGGGAGCAGCTGTCTAAATAAGGAAGAGGCAACAAGAGGATTAAATGACACCATACAGTAGAGACTGCAGGGTCCAGAGTCAGAAGTCAAAGTCCAGAATACTGGCTAGACGTAATAAATGAAATGTAATAAGGAATACAAGGAGATAAGATGGAGGAGGTCAAAGTCCGGAGGTGGAGGTGTGACCGGAGTTCCAGAGGTGGAGGTGTGATGGGGTTCCGGTACAGGAGTCCGGAGCCGGAGGTGGAGCATCACAAGCTCTGGTCTGGAAGATACGAGGTTGGGATCGGACCCGGAGTAAACCGGAGTCGGATCAGAGGTAGTGTTGGACGTTGTGTTGGAGCTAGAGGTAGAGTGGGCTCTCAACAACCAACAGGGGGAGGAGGAGGCGAAGGATGTGGAGTTCTGGAGGAGATGGAGGTCCAGAATCAGGAGCAGAGGTCCGGAGTTGTATGGATATGACAGCTACAAGAAGGACATGAATCATTCCTCTCAGCTTGGCAAAGCACTCCATGACTGGAGAAAAGCAGAGTTTTCTCAGCACTATCCTGATTGGCACAACAGTATTTGGATAGGGGACTGGATTGTACTTGGCAACCCAATCATTGACGATATTATCTATCTCATGAATTGCAACAAACTTTTGAATCAGCAAGATTTCATACAGCTCCTTGATTGGGAAGAACATGGCTACTACGCATCAGAGCTGTTGCCAATGATTCACCAGATTTTCCCACCAGCAGTGCCCCCATCTGCTCAGCCATCCACCCCAGCACAAAGCAATACTGTGGTTCAGCCTTGCACAAAACAATGTGGCAACTGCAAGAATATGGCCACAATGGTGAGTTTACTGTGACAAGCTATAGTATTTTTTTCAACTGATGTGTCTGGATTAGCTTGAACTTGCCCTGAACCATGCAAGAATTGTCACCAGAGTGGTCATACTAGTAAGTTGCATGCATGCCACCTATAGACAAATAAAATACTTTTGTGCCCAATTAGAGATCCATTGTCCAAACAAGGAAAATTCTTCTGCTTGATCAATCTCCTGCCCAGGACATTGTTAATTAAGCCCCCAGATCAGCTGCATCAATTTTGTGCATGTCATCCATCGATTCCGACTCACAGGAATTAATTGAACCCTGCATTGTGCCATGTTGCAACAACTCCAACCCTTTCTGGAAATGGTCTTCAATGATAGCTGTTAAATGAATGGGCAGAGTTGTCCGGAAGTGGAGAAGGGACTCAGGAGTGGAGGGACCTTGGCCTCAGCAACTCAGGTGGAGCGCTGTGCCATTGCTTGTTGTCTAAGGTGGTCCTTTTCAATACTAACTTGTTATGTACAAGCTATTATCTATTTTATATGAGTTGGAAATGGAATGAATGGAATGGGGGAATGTAAACGGGCCGTTAGGCAACCGTAAATAATGAATATCCAATTAGGAACAAAGAAACAATAAAAGAAATATGAATGAATGGGGAATATATGATAACGGGTCCGAAATGGGAATTGTAAAAGTTAACTCCGCAACGCTTCGCCACAGCGCCCGCCTATCCTCCCGTCAGCAATCTCCTCGTCTTCAGCTTTCCAACGAGCCCTTATTCATCCCATTTGGTGCAGTAGTTCTTGAGATGTGGCCATTGACAGGTGCTGTCAAGACCACATGAGAGTCTACTCCATGCTGAACCATCTGGGTATGGGATTGCCATTCTGGGAAATGCTCCGGGGTGAAGAAGGATGGTAGAGCATCACTATCGGGTAGAAAAACGGCTGGGTTGTATGTGTGGTTATGGAGATCTGGAGAGGGGGTGAAATTGGTGGCATGGTTGGGCATGGGAATTTGGTCAGGAATGATGGGGAAAATATGGAAAAATAAGGAGTGAGTGTCAGGAGTGTTGGATAGTAATAGAATAAGCATCGGGAGCATCGGCGGGTATGTAGTGGGTGTTTGTGGCCAAATTCTGCAGAATCCGACTTTTTGCAGTACACAGAGTTGTCCCCACAACAACGTCCATGCCCTAATTTACTTACTGGCAACGAGAACTAAAGGGGGATCAACTCTAGTCGATTTTATCACTGAGGTGTAACCTATGTACAAGTTAAGTATATATAGTTACAGCAAGAGTGGGCCTGTGAATGGTGGGGCCGAGCGGAGTGGAGCAACGGAGTTAAACATTAGCCAACTGAATATTACTGACAAGTCAGGTTACAGGGTTAGCGGAATGGCAGGCGATAACCCAGAAACGGAAAGGAGGGATAGACCCAAAGGTGGGCTTGCAGGGCAAGCAAGTGAATTGCCCAGCAGAGGCAGGAGTGCGCTAGCAGATGTCGGAGCTGTCCAGAAGCCTTTGGGGCTCCGTACTTAGGGAGGCATAGGTAATATATTGAAAAGAGGGGGTGGTGACCATCGAGGGGAGTGGAGGTGATTGCAGAATATGGGAGCTCTGAGGTTAGTGTCAGGGGACGACTCCCAGGTCCCCATGACCCTCCCCTATGGTCCACAGTCCTAGGTGTAACTAGCCCTGTCCAGGGCACAACCTACTGTGGGTCAGAGATGAGAAGGAAGTTAACTTCTCATCTTCCCACAGTGGCCACAATACATCGAAAACTTCCGGAGATATCCGGAAGTCACATGAGACCCAAGACCCGAGGTCCGGGCCATCCGGCCGCACTGAGCGTCCGGCACAGGGCGCGCGCGGGGAGTGCAACAGCCGGGTGCGGTTGCGGGTGCGGGTGTGGATGCGGGTATGGGCTAGGTCAGGGTGTATGCCCTGACAGTTAGTGAAGAAGGAGCGGAGGTGGTGTCACAACCCGGAAATTCCCACGGTCAGGTGACCACTCCCCACACCTTCTCCCTCCTCCACTTTGACCCCATCAACTCCGCTGCCCACCCGACATCGCCTGGACAAGCCCATCATGGGCCTATGAGTCATTCCTTATCACACTTGTTTTCTTGACAGCCATGCATGGCCATCCTTCTCCCACGCTCTTTGTTTGTTTTCGTTCCTTCTTAAGCCTGCCTGCAATCTCCATGAGATCTGGTGACTTATTTCTATTCATTCTGTTACACTTAAATACCGGTTGTACACTACCTCGTACTTTAGTTCGAAAATCAACTAGGGTTACCCCCTGCACTCCCTGTCTGACCCAGTTGCACCCTCTGCCCTCTGAAATATCGGGGCTGTGTCAAGTACGAGGTGCAACGCTCATGAACGAGTCGTTGAAGCCGAAACCCCACTTCACCGCGATTGTCACCCCCACCCTTAATGGGCTGTTATGCCGGGGTAGTGGACCTTAATGGTTGCTGACAGCGAGTCACGGTAACGTTTTCCCATGCCCTGACAGGTGGTCCGGAAGGATCGGAGGCAGTGGAAGTCGATGGCCATGGATGGATATGACAGCAATGATGTTTACATGAAATGAGGTCACCAATGCAATGGACTTAAGCCAAGGTGGAGTCAAAGTCCAAGGTTGGGAGCATGATGGGATCTCAGAACAGAGGTACAAGTGGTGTCCAAATTCAGGGTACAGGATGGGAGTGGGAGGTCATACCTTAGCGGGTGTTAGTTGGGAGAGAGTCAGAAGGAGAGGAAGGTGGTGTCAGGTCCAAAGGTGGAGATCAGAGCAGATGGGGATAGGGTAGGACTCCAGAGGTGGTGGAGAGGAGGGTCTGGAAGTTGAATCTGGATCAGGTATGTATGGATATGACATTGTTCCTCATTCCTGAAGAGTCCCTTAACATCAAAGTGGATGAAAGGGTGGATGTATGCAGAGGATGGGCATGGGAAGTGATCATCTGGCTCAATTGCATCAAGTCAAGGTACACAACACCAAACACCAGAGGGTAATGTACAAAGTGGGAGACTTAGTACTGATTGACCCTCATAAGCTAAATCTCCTGGAAGTGAAGGGCATAGGGCAGAAGTTAATGCAGAGACATATTGGGCCACTCGAGGTGATGGAAGTGATAAACAAGAACGCCTACTGATTAAAACTCCCCAACTCCTACCCTATGCATAATATGGTAAATGTAGCACACCTGAGGCCTTACCATTCCCCTGGTGACATCTCAAGATCATTACTGTCCACCCCAGAGACAATATAAAAGCCTTGGAAGAGTTTGAGGTGGTGGGGCACAGGAAGCAGAAAGGGAAACTGCTATATTGAGTAAGATGGAAGGGATACGGAGTGCAAGAAGACATGTGGGCAACTGAGAGAGACCTCCAAAATGCCCCAAAAATTCGTGGAAGGTACAGGACAACAAAGTCAGATCTGAGCAGACATGAATAAGTGCCCACTTCCCATTCAGGTACTCACACAAAGCAGATTAGCAGCATGTGACCAGGCTCCACTTCAATCATCCTCCCATTTTCCCATTGTTTTTGCAACCTCATCAACAAATCTAACTGTTATGGAAATGGGATTTTCCCATTTTTAGCCTCTTATGGGCTCTGTACAGTACAAAGTCACGTGATATGTAAATAGTAACAACTTACCCATTGTGAGGTCTTTGGGTAGCTCAGCACACAAAGCCATAAGTGATACAAGAATGTGTATTCTACAGTGGTGTGTAAGCAGTTACCCAGAGGTTCCCGCTTACCCATGTGACTATATGTATCTAATTTACATGTGGCTCGGGGTTCAGGGCTACTGCCCTGACATTCTCCCCCTTGCGATGCATACAAGGTTGATAGTGAATAAAACAAAGTTTTAATAATTGATTTACATTGAGTTTGGAATTATCAATGAGTGTTTTGTTGTTGCCACTTTAAAGTGGGTGATTTTGTACATGTTGGTGAAGGAGAGAGAGAGGGTTTAAGGAATAAATGAGTGTGGGCCATTACTTTGAAGTGAACGGTGATACATGGGTATCGCAGGGAGAAAAGTAGTGGAGTTTGTCGAAAATGAATTTTGACCCAAAGGTTGTATGTCTTTGGTGTTCCTCACTTGTTCCATGAGGGTTCGTGTGTGTCAGGGCACACACCCTGACTAGCCCGGACCCGGACCCGCGTCCGGACCCACATGTGCGCCTCCGCCCTGCACGCTCCACACGCCACATGCTCCGGGCCCGGTTCCTACCCTTCATGTGACTTCTGGGTATCCCCGGAAGTTTTTGCCATATTGGGGCCACTGTGGGAAAGTGAGAAGTTAACCTTCTTCTCACTTTCTTACCCACAGTAGGCAAGTGTAGCCTACTTTCTATTTATCTATACACTTTCTTACCCACAGTAGCTATGCCCTGAGATGGGCTGTGTTTACAGGCCAGACTGTGGACTGTAGAGAGGGGTCATGGGGACCCAGGGTCCGTCCCCTGACAGTGTGTAAGTGGTGTTTACACACAAGCGGTGGTGGATGTGGGTCTTTTGGCGGAGTGGAGATTTCTGCAATTGTTACTTGCGGTTCCTCACATACAGTATTGTGTGTGGGGCCTCGAGTTGGGGAAGGTGTTTTCACGGGTGCCTCGATGGTGTATTACCGTGTCACTTTCCCTTTTCTCAAGGGTGGAGTCATTGCCCTGGAGGAGGGTTTTCCTCCAGGTTGTTCATCTGGACATCCGATTGCTGTGTCGGATGCAATGACGTAGCCTGGGCTACATTGTTGGGCTGTGGGCTCAACAAAGTGGGCGCTCCCTGGGTGGGAGTGGGTTGTTGTGTTCCTGAGCTACTTGGCTCAGGTGCGGAGTACGGTAGGTCTACCGTTCTTCCTGTGGGGAAGGGTGGTCGTTGGGCTGGTTGTCCAGCGTGGAGACTTGTGTCTCTTTCCCGGTATTTGGAAGCTTTCGCTTCCCATTCCGCAGTTCTTGCGGCACGTTCCTCAGGAGTCCTGAGTGGTTTGAACTGGGACTTTAGATAGGCAGCTTTGCCTAGACTTTCCCAGGAGATTTTTCCCTTATTCTCTGGGGAATTATACTCCTCTGCGAGTCTTGCAATACTCGGGAGTCCCAAGAAGTATTTCTCGGTTTCCTTCGCTTTTTTGCGAAGGGTTCTGTGTACCTTGCCACTTTTGAAGGCGGCTTCAGCCTGTTTGTACCAGTGTACAAATTCTTTCCCACTCATGCTTGTCCACCAAG